TTTTTCCCCCTTTAACCTAAAAAAGTTCCCCCCCAAAAAATTTTTTAAAAAAAAAAACCCCCCCTAAAAATTTTTTAAAAATAACCCCTTTAAAAAAAAAAAAAAAAAAATTTTTTTTTTCCCCCACCCAAAAAAAAAACCCCCCCAAATAATTTTTTTTTCCCCCCCTTTTTTTTTAAAAAAAAAAAATAATAAAAAAAAAAAAAAAATTTTTTTTTTAAAAAAATTTTTTTTTTAAAAAAAAAACCCTTTTTCCCCAAAAAAAATTTTCCCCCCTTTTTTTCCCCCCCCAAAAAAATTTTTTCCCAAAAAATTTTTTTTTCCCCCCCCAAAAAAAAAAAATTTTTTTCCCCCCAAATAAAAAAAAAAAATTTTTTTTTCCCCCCCTTTTTTAAAAAAATTTAAAAATTTTTAAAAATCCCTAAAAAAAAAATTTTTAATAATAATCCCAAAAAAAAAAAAAATTTTTTTCCTTTTTCCCCCAATAAAAACCCCCAAAATTTTTTTTTTAAAAAAAAAAAAATTTAAACCAAAAATAAATTTTTTTAAAAATAATAACCTTTTAAAATAAAAAAACCCCATAAAAAAAACCCCAAATAATTAAAAAAATTAAAAAATTTAATAAAAAAAAACCCCCCCCCCCTTTTAAAAAAAATAGAAAAAAAAAATTAAAAATTTTAAATCCAAAAAAAAAACCCCCTAAAAAAATTTAATAATTTAAACCCTTTTAATAATAATATAAAAAAATAATAAAAATTTTTTCCCCCCCCCCCTTTTCCCCAAAATAATAACCATCCAAAAAAAAAAAACCCCCCCTAATAACCCCCCCCCCCCCAAAAAAAAAAAAAAAAAACCCCCCCCCAAATAACCAAATATTTTAAATTTTCCCCCTTTCCTTTCCCCCCCCAAAAAATTTATCCATAATAAAAAAAAAATTTTAAAAAAATTAAAAAAAATTTTTTTTTTTTAAAAAAAACCCCCCCCCCCCCAAAAAAAAAAATAATTTTTTTTTTTTAAAAAAAAAAAAATTTTAATAATCCAAAAAAAAAAAAAAAAAACCCCCCCCCCCCCCTTTTTAATCCTTTCCCCCCCAAAAAAAAAAAACCCCCCCCCCCCCTTTTTTTTAAAAAAAAAAAAAAAAAAAAAAATTTTTTTTTTAATTCCCAAAAAATAAAAAATTTTTTTTTTTAAAAAAAAAAAAACCCCCCCCCCAAAATCCATAAAAAAACCCCCCCAAAAAAAAAAAAAAAAAAAAAAAAACCCCCCCCCAAAAATTAAAACCATAAAAATAAAAAAAAAAAACCCCCAAAAAAAAAAATTTTTTTTAAAATAAAAAAAACCCCAATTTAAAAAAAACCCCCCCCCCCCCTTCCATAATAATTTTAAAACCCCCCCCTTTAACCCCCCCCAAAAAAAAATAAAAAAAAAAAAACCCCCCCAAATTAATTTAATAAACCTTTTCCCCCCCCAAAAAAAACCCCCCCCTAAAAAATTTTCCTCCCCAAACCCCACCCCCCCCAAAACCCAATCCCCCCCCCCCCCCCCCATCCCCCCTTTTTCCCCCCCCCCTTTCCTTTTCCCCCATCCACCCCCCCCCCAAAACCCCCCCCCCCCCCCCAAAAACCCTTAAACCCCCCCCCCCCCCCCCCTTTTTTTTTTTTTTTAAAAACCATCCCCCCCAATCCATCCACCCCCCTTTTCCCCCCCCCCCCCCCCCCCCCCCCCCCCCAACCCCTCCCCCCCCCCCCCCCTTCCTTTCCTCCCCCCCCCCCCCAAACCAATCCCCCTCCATCCCCCACCCAAACCAATCCATCCCCTTTTTCCCCCTTCCCCTCCCCCCCCACCCCCCCAAAAACCCCAATCCATCCATCCACCCTTCCCCCCTTTTTAATTTTTAAAAATTTTTTTTTAAAAAAAAAGGGGTGGGGGGGAAAAAGGGGGGGGGGGGCCCCCGGGTTTTAAAAAAAAACCCCCAAAATTTTAAAAAACCCCCCCCCCAAAAAAACCCCCCCTTTTTTTCCCCAAAAAAAGGGGGGAACCTTTGGGGGGGGGGTTTTTTTGGGGGAAAACCCGGGGGGGGTTTTTTTGGGGGGGGGGGGCCCGGGTTTTGGGGGTTATTTTTGGGAATTCCCCTTTTTTTTTTTGGGGAAAAATTTGGGGGAAAAAAAAAAAAAAAACCAAAAAAAAAAAAGGGGGGGGGGGGGGAAATTCCCGGGAAAACATTTTTCCCCCCTTTTTTGGGGAAAAGTTTTTTTTAAAACCCCCAAAAAAAAAAAGGGGGAAAAAAAAAAAAGGGGGGGTTAAAAAAAAGGGGGGGGGAAACAGGGGAAAGGAAGGGGGGAAGAGGGGAAAAAAAGGGAACCCCGGGGGGGCCCAAAAAAGGGGAAATTTTGGGGAAAAGGCCCCGGGGGGGAAAAAAAAACCCCCCCAAAAAAAAAATTTTCCCCAAAAAACTTTTCCCCCCCCCGGGGCCGGGGGAAAAAAGGGGGGTTTTAAAAAAAAAAAAGGGGTTTTTTAAAAAAAATTTTTTTTAAAAATAAAAGGTTTTTTTTTAAAAAAAAAAAAAAAAGGGGTTTTAAACCGGGAAAAAAAAAAAAAAATTGGGTAAAAGGGGGGGAAAAAAAAAGGTTTAAAAGGGGGTTTTTTTTTTTCCCCCGGGGGGGTTTTTTTTTGGGAAAATTTCCCCCGGGGAAAAATTTTTTCAAAAAAATTTTTTTTTTAAAAGGAAAAATTTTGGGGGGGGGGGAAAATTTTTTTTTGGGTTTTTTGGGGAAACCCCCCCCCGGGGGGGGTTTTGGGCCTTTTTTTTTAAAACCCCCCCCCCCAAAAAAAAAAACCCCCTTTTTTTCCCCAAAAATTTAAAACCCCCCCCCCCCAAAAAAAACCAAAAAAAAAAAAAATTAAACTTTGGGGTTTAAAAAAAAAAAAAAAAAGGAGGGGGGTTTTTTTTCCCCCAAAAAAAAAAAATTTTTAAAAAAAAAAGGGGGGGGAAAAGGCCCTTTTCCCCCAAAAAAAAACCCAAACCCAAAAAAAAAAAGGGGGGGGGGAAACCCCCCAAAAAAATTTTTTGGGGGGGGGTTTTTTTTTAAAAAAGGGGAAAAATTTTAAAAAACCCCCCCCTTTTTTTTTTTTCCCCTAAAAAAGGAAGGTTTTGGGATTTAAAAAATTTTTTTTGGGGGGGGAAAAAAAAACCCCCCCCCTTTTTTTTTTTGGGGGGAAAAGGGGAAAAGGAAAAAGGGGGAAAAATAAAACCCCTTTTCCCCGGGGGTTTAAAAAAAAAAGGGGGGGGGCCCAAACCCAAAAAAAAACACCTTAAAAGGGGGGGTTTTTTTGGGAAAAAAAAAAAAAAAAACCCGGGGTAAAAAATTTTTCCCTTAAATTTTAAAAGGGGGGAAAAATTTTTTTTTCCCCCCCCAAAAAAAATTTTTTTTTTAAAAACCCTTTTTTTTAAAAAAAAAAAATAAAAAAAATTTTTAAAAAAAATTTTTAAAAAAAAAAACGGAATTTTGGGGGTTTAAAAAAATTCCCTTTTTTAAAAAAAATTTTTTTTTTTTTTGGTTTTTTTAAAAACAAAAAAAAAAAAGGTTTTTTTTTTTTAAATTTAAATTTTTTTTTTTTTAAAAAAAAAAATTAATTTTTTTTTTTAACATTTAAAAAAATTTTTTTTTTTAAAAAATTTAAAAAAAAAAAATTTTTTTCCCAAAAAAAAACCCTTTTTTTTTTTTCCCCCCAAAAAAAAAAAAAATTTTTTTTTTCCCCCAAAAAAAATTTTTTTTTTTTAAAATTTCCCTTTAAAGGGGGGAAAAAAAAAAAAATTTTTTTCCCCTAAAGACCAGCTGTTTGGGAGACGAGATACTTCTTTCCTACCGTTACAACTGTTAGCATGGAGTTAGTTGGACTTTAACCAAACCTTTGAGCTTTGGTTGGAGACGACTGAGATTTTAACCTGAACTGATGTTCAGATGCTCCAGAGAGAAGATGCTTTAAAGGTCAGGAGGTAAACCAAGACATCCTGGATCCACCTCACCATCTCATCCCATTAGAGACACAGAGGAGACCAGGAAACGTCCTGATCAGCCTGAGGCATCTAGAACTGTTCCTTTAGGTCTCATCAGCTGCTTCTAACATAAACCCATGAACATGGAGTCCTGCAGAGATCCATGACGAATCAGCCAAAAAAACAACCAGTTACATCCTGAAACGTGGAAAAAGTCTCTTCAGTTGACATATTTCCACAGAATCAAGACAATGAGAGCTGCTCCATCCGCCTTCCAATGAGCTCTGATCAGGGCCGGACCTGGAGCTGTTTAACTCTAGAAAAGCTCATTCATAAAATAACTTAACTTAGTTTTTACAGAGACTTAGTTTTTGTTAAGGAAAAAAACAGACCTATATGCTACTCATACACTTGGAATTCCTGCTAAGCTGTGCATCTATGGAAGTAAATCTGTGTCGCTGGGATTTGAATTAAAAATGCGACTGAAATTTAAATGTTGTATGTTTGTACTTACTGTTTCAGTGTTAAAATATATTCAGAACACATTTTTGACCTAAAAAAAAAAGTCATTGTTATTATTTCTACACAGCTGAAATTTCATTTGTTATTTTCTCTTCAAGCTAAAAATTCACATTACTATTTCAAAGTGATTACATTTTCAATTTCAGTTAAATTTTTCAGTGTTAAAAAAAAATCTGCATATAAAAAATTTCAACCTTTCAAAATTCAAACTCAATATTTTCAGCCTCCTGAGATTCAACTGGCTCTATTTCACTGTCTTAAATTCGGTGTCTAAATTCAGTGTAAAAAGGGAGGGGTTACTTCAGGTCACAGACATTAGCAATGGATTGTGGCGTCCAACACCCAGCCAATCCCGTTACGTTTTCTTAGTCACGTGACGTGACGCTTGTGGCGCTCATACGGAAGGAAAACTAGCATCATGGACCCGGTCATGCAAGCTAACGCTAACTCTACTACAGAAAAATGAAAGTAATAAACTCACCGTTGAGTTAGCGCTAGCTTGCATGACTCCGTCATGCTGGTTTTCCTTCAGTATGAGCGCCACATGCGTCACGTAACGTGACTAAGAAAACGTAACGGGATTGGCTGGGTGTTGGAAGATGATTAAATTCAAAGCAGCAAAACATGCGGAAATGATCCAGGGTTTCTGCGGATCATTAAAAATAATTACAATTCAATAATTTTTTCGGATTTTTTCATTAATTTCATTAATTTTTATGGGATTTCGGTGTAACAATCAACATATACCGAACCGAACCGGAAACCGTGACCACGAAACCGTGAATCGAACCGAACCTTGGATTTTGTGAACCGTTCCACCCCTAGTATAAATGTGTGTACTGGGCTTGCCCCAGTGAGAGCTTTTCTCTCCATCTAAGGACGTAAAATAAATTAGAACCTTTTCCTGCAAGAAATGCCTCTATTGTTTCGCCACAACTTCACGACGTCATCAGCATAACAGAGAAACGTCTCATTAAAAGAAGGTAAAGAAGGCCAAGCAGCAGCAGATAAACGGAAAAGAGGAGGGGACTGAGTACAGAACCCTGTGGGACTCCATGACCCACAGCTCTGGTCTCAAAGAGATCATTTAAAAGTTTCTATTCCAGACACAAGATTTCAGCCAATTTTGCCCCGACTCCAACCAAGTCTTTAGGTTTATCTTACCTTTATAAAGGTGACTTTTTTTATTTAATCACTTTTTTTTCTGTATTAAACACTGAGGAGAAAGTAGACCTACTCACAGTTCATTCCAATCCATTATCTTCTCAGAGCTCCTGAACGTCCAAACTGGTTTTCTTTCTCACACAGCATCATAAAAAAGCAGAATTACTCCAAGTCAGAGAAGATAATCCATTCTGCGAGAAAGAGGAACATCTCCGTGCTTCACTGGTCAAACTGGGTGAGAAGCAAATCCCCGCCTGTCTTAAGAAGAGAATGTAACATGGTCCTTTGGAAAGAACAGCCAGGAAAACATGATGAAACCCCGTAGATAAAGATGAACACATCCAGGTTATTTAGCTTTTCCATTTAAAATCTGATTGATTTCCAAAGAGTTTTTCTGATGTGATTCATGCACAGATCCACATTCATGCAGAATTCTTATCAAGCTTTCGAGCATAAAGGGAGCAAAATGGAAGATTTTGCCCTGATGTCTGGTTCCATCTGTGACTTCTTTGCACAGTTGACCGTCTCATTGGTTAAACCTCCTCCCGTCCAGAACCAGAGAGTCCAGCTGTTCTGGCTGCAGACGCCTCCGTCCATCCGCTGGTTTGATGCCGGGCTGCAGGTTCAGGTCTGCAGAACTGAAAACAGCATCTAATGGCCTAAATTAGCAGAAAACAGGATCTTAGTCCCTCCGATTTAGAGGAAGCAATCAATGGATGTTTTATTTTCTTTAATTTTTGACTGGCTCCAACAGTTCCAGCTGGGTCCTTCCAGCTTCCTTCAGTTTATCATTTTATTCCACAGAAAATTTGGGAAAATCTTCCAAAGAAATCCAGTCAAAAGACAAACATTCCTGATTTGTTCCTCAGAAAGTTCTCAGCTGGTTCCACCTGTCCCTCCGTCCATCCCTGACCTCCCGTCTCCTCCCGGTCCTGCAGCGGGGGGCGGATCAAAGGGAACTTTTTCAGGGAGTTTTTAACAACCAGGACCTGCTGCAGAGATTTCCCCTCCTTCCACTGCTCCACTCCTCCACCTGTGAACCTCTGATGGAGATTTCTTCATCTGCTCCTTCAACTCCTCTCGTCGGTCTTTTCTCCTCTCAGTCCACCATCCTCTTCATCCAACTCTGCGCTGGTCTTTCTACCTCCACCTTCCCGGTGTTTCCACTCTTCTCTCTGCTTCGTTTCGCCTCATCTCCCTCAGACCATCTCCTCCTCTTGCCCTCTTTTCCCCCTTCCTGTGGTCCAGATTTTCCTCCTTCACCCTCTTCTCTCCTGTAGCTCCTCAGTCTGTTCCTGCGGTCTGCATCGCAATGCTGCTCCACTCAACCCCTCCTGCCTTCACCCTCCTCCTCCTCCTCCTCTAACTCCAGGAGAGACGGATGAAAGGAAGCGAAAGAAGCAAAGAGGGGATGAAGGACTAAATAAGAGGTGGAAATAAAGCGGGTGGATTCTTGCTCCTAGTTGCTGTTGTTGCTGGGAAACGCAGGAGAAGCTGCAGCTCTCCTCCTCCTCCTCTGTCCGTCTGCGTCTCTCACCTCCTCTCCCTCCTTTTACAGCTCCGCCCTCCTGAGGAAACCCCATCCACACACACTCCACACGCTGCATGAATACTTCATGAGACGACTGACGGCCGCTTTGCTCTGGATTCCTGCGTGTTTGTTTAAACCTCACAGAGTTGGAGAACAGTTAGTGACCAACAGATGTTAAAACTAGAGAGCATCTCCTCTCCTCACACTCCACGAATATAAATCACTTAGTAAACAGAACCAAACTCTGACACAGCTCAACTCTGAGGAAAACAGAATAGATAATGAGGCTCCATTCAAAAGAAACAGCTAAAGATTCAATTCTATTCCGTTTATATCTATACCACCAATTCACATCATGTCATCTCAAGGAACATTCCAGTTCACCAGATCATCCGGTCAGATTGATTCAAAGTTTTCTATCTAAGGAAAACCAGCTGATTGCATCGACTCATTGACTCTTCAGCAATCCCTCACACTAAGCATGCCTGTAGCGACAGTGGAGAGGAAAAACTCCCTTTGAACAGGAAGAAACCTCCAGCAGAACCAGGCTCAGTGTGAGCGGCCATCTGCTGAGGCCCACTGGGGTTCAAGGAGACAGAAGCAGACGTAGAAAAAGAAGCATAGATACGAAAGGCAACTGTCAACCAGCTCCACAGGCGGCCCCGTCCAGAAAACACACAGCCAGGCAGACGAGCTCCGAGCCAGCTCCCATGTCAGAGGATGAAGAGAGCACATCCAGTTAGTCACAGTCAGAGAAACAGGACTACACTGGAAAACAGGCCAAGCTCCAACATCTAGAAACAAAGGTGTTGATGGCAGCAGCACAGCTGATATTTCTCTCCAGGATGGAGTCACAGCCAAACAGGAACAGACCAGATGAAGCTACTATGAGAAAAAGCAGAGAGAGCAGAACGTTAGAGATTGAACTAACAGATTCTGCAGAGTGGGAGAATAGAGATAGAATGAAGCAGAATGATGAAAAAGGGGTCCCTATGTCCTCCAGCAGTCTAAGCCTATAGCAGCAGAACTATAGAGATAGCTCAGGATAACCTGAGCCACTCTAACTAGAAGCTTTATCAAAAAGGAAAGTTTTAAGCCTAGCCTTAAAGTAGACAGGGTGTCTGCCTCACGGACTAAAACTGGTAGTTGGTTCCACAGGAGAGGAGCCTAATAACTAAAAGATCTGCCTCCCATTCTACGCCATCGGAGGGTGGAGCTTTGTTAGGACAGAGAACAAGAGTTTGCTGATGATGAAGTTATCTTTTGGGGTAACAAAAGAGAAGACCAAAGCTTTCAAACTCTTCTTCCCGAAGCAAAGTTACAGTTTTTTCTGAATGCTTAAGCGCTAATCATGATTCTTGCAGCACAATTTCTAAAACTATTAATACGTATAGCAAAACCACTCACTGAGTTTGCAAAACTAAAAGCACAAACACTGCATTGCACTCAGTTTGCAATTTTGTAACACAGATTTTGCAAAACTGTAGGCACAATTCACTGCACAACACTCTATTACCACATTTCCAACACACTCCTAGCATAATTATACACATGTATGGCTATCATTAACACTATTTTGCCAACTGTCTGGCACACTTTCACATGTGAAAACTGTTTTAGAGAATTAGTTCACTTTGCAATCAGCCTAAGCACTATAAATAATAATAATTGATAATGACACCATCTTTCAAAATAGGCAATAAGCATTTCTTCACTAAGTCGTGTACTTGCACACCACAGAATCAGAATGCAACAAATTTACAGAGTTCCTTTCCAGAGAAACACAGAACATGTAAAGCAACTGCGATATGACTATGTGCAGGTAAGCTATAGTGTCATTGGTTCTGAATTTGGAAGTGCATACTGTAGTGCTGTGCATGGGCCTGATGTGATGCATTTGTTTTTTCTTGTTCAGAGAGTGATGGAACTAGAAGCAGATGCCATGGGACATGAGCTACTTCTTCTAGATGAAGCTGGTTTTACAGTTTTTTACAGTCGCTAGGACACATTTCTCAATACTTAGGTCACTTTTTCAAAACTCTTCACACAGTGAGCACAACAGAAGTATATGTGGGCTAAACTGTGGATCATTTATCATTGCTTTGGCACAAAATGCATTCAATGACTACATCTTTCAAATTACATTAATTCTTTTCTCACTTCGACACAACAACCGCCAAAACTCTGTGTACCTACAGGACAATTTGCACATGCTTACATACTGTTTTCAAAACTGTTAAACTTATGTTCAAAACAATAACATAATACAAAACTGAATAAGACAGCAATTTGCTACATTTCTACAGGAATATTTTAATGAAATATATTTTACATCTCAAAATTAAATGCTATAAAAATAAGTGGACAATTGGACCAACCACAGCTGATTCTCATTGTAGATGAACATCTACACAGGTGTTACTCTTTCAATTTCATTACAAAAGGAGACAACTGCTGAATAGTTTTGTATTGTGATGTAAACATGGACCCAGCCAGAAACAGAGAAGTGGCTGAAAGAGGAAGAAGAGGGGCTGGGAGGGGGCGAGGAATACGTATGCGTGGTGGAAGAAGAATAAGAGGAAGACCAAGAGCTGTAGTTTCAGATGAGATCAGAGCTACTGTAATTGATCATGTAGTAAATCATGGTCTCTCAATGAGAGAGGCTGGTCAGAGAGTGCAGCCAAATCTGCAACGCTCAACAGTGGCATCTATTGTTAGAGTTTTCCGGCAAACCAAAATGGTGTTGTTCAACATCATGCAACCATAGGCCCATACAACATTGCACACATTATTGCATTCCTGGACACCTT